CTTTGTTTATGAACCCTAGTCACACCTCCCTGCATGTGACTTGCACAGCCTTCCATAAACACTTCCTGTAAAGAGAGCCCTATTTAGGCTTTCTTTATTGCAAGTTCTGTTTAATTAAGATTTTCTTATCCCCTGCTATGTTAATAGCTTGCTAGACCCTGCAAGAGCCTCCTGTATGTGATTAAAGTTCAATTTAGAGATTGAGATACAATTATTTAAGGTAAATTACATCTGTTTGAAAGTGAAACCAGTTTTTTTTTCATGCAGGCTCTGTCAATCATAGCCAGGGGAGGTGTGGCTAGGGCTGCATAAACAGAAACAAGTGATTTAACTCCTAAATGACAGTGAATTGAGCAGTGAAATTGCAGGGGAATGATCTATACACTAAAACTGCTTTATTTAGCTAAAGTAATTTAGGTGACTATAGTGTTCCTTTAACCCCTTAAGGACCAAACTTCTGGAATAAAAGGGAATCATGACATGTCACACATGTCATGTGTCCGTAAGGGGTTAAGCTACATTCCTATGAATGTACTGCTGAGGAGCCCAGGTCATACATACCATCCATCTGTTGCTCCTATAAAAGAGGATATGATTAGGATATAAAGGAATGACAGGGGATTTCAACACAAAATAGGTTCTGTTTCAAATCCAGATAGTTTTCAAACGGAAGACTAACTTTTTTTTTTTTACTTACTTTTACTTTTCTTACTTTCATGACTTCTATGAAGCCACATAAGCAATTTAATGAATAACCCTGATAAACACTGATTGCAGTTTATTTGCAGTGAGAAATTAAACAGCAAATGTTTGCATTTCATAAGCACAATATCAAAAGCACTTTCATCATTTAAAAGCGAGAGAAGCAAAATGTATCAATAAGTAAAGGGGATAGGGTTAGAGACATGATCTGCATGAGGAGGGAAGCATTTGGGAACAATTCAATGTAACAAGACAGGGGCTCCCACACAAAGGCTATGAAGTCTACTGGCAAGATGGTAATGAATATACATCAGTTAGCCCAGGCAGCTGGAAGGAATACACAAAACAACATCTGCAGAAACCAAACCTTCTGCTGTCACACAATAATGTCCAAATACCACAGGGATGTCATGTCTATAGTACTGTTCTGCAGTAGGCCGTGATTGACGTCTATTATATTACAATACATGGACAGACGTGATGAGTTTATAGTATTTTTGCTTGAACTTCCAACAAAACAGTAAAAAGTGAAAATCTACTTTACAGTTAAACGAGCACTCCAATGCAATTTTAACTATTTTGTACATATACCTGTAACGAAAGCATGCATTTTTCCTGCATATTTTCTTTGGGGGTACGTGGAAAAAAAAACCAGCTGGCAAAAGCTGCAGACCTGCTGTCTGCAGCTTTGCCAGTCCTCCCCTTTAAGTGACCAGTAAGACGTTTCGGATGGAGAAGCCTCTGTGCTGGAGCTGCACGAATACACTTCGATGTAGAGCTCATTGAGGAGGGGTAGGCGGCAGCTTGCTAGCAGATGAGAAAAAAATTAATCTCCATGATCGTCTCATTGACAGCCAGGAAGGTGATTTTTCCTCAATTATAAAAGTGCAGATTTCTATTGAAACTGGCACTTTTACTAACTGTCTAAAATTTACAGACAGAAAGCTTGAGTGTGTCTGGAGTGTTCCGTCACCTGACATTTAGCAGCAATGACGCTTTTAACTTTACATTTGCAAGCAGCAGACAAGGCACCTTCCTAAATCCTGAGTTTGTAATACCCTTTGTATATTCTACATAGCTCTCTCTGTATGCACAGTTAATGCCAGAGAAGGATTAACATCTCACAGGGCCCTATGCAGGTTACCAGTTTGGGGTTCATTCTTCAGGTAGGGATAGTTAATGGGGCCAAGCAAATTCATGGTTCCGGGCCCTAGACAGCCGTCTACGGACACCTTATGGTTAACCCTACTCTGGTTGATGCCATCTAAATAAATGTTAATAACAATTTAAAATACAGTTACTAAAACTCTCCATCAACTTTATACATCTTTCATATGCAAACAATGTAATTGATAAGAATACAACATGATTGTATATAATAAACATCTCAATGTATACGACATTCAACAAGTGTCTCAGAATGGTCTGCAAACACAATATAATCTGACGTATACCAGTTGATACCTCATGCTTTTAAACAGCTAACATGCACCACCAAAACTGATGTTAACACCACTGCCATCTACAGGACACATGAAGGAACTGGTCTCTAAAAGACTAACACTAGCTTGAAACGGCTCAGGTGGTGACACTTGTACATGTTAATAAACACGAACTCTTGTAATTAAGCAGTGATGGTTCAAACAGCAATATAAACACATTTGGATTCCTAGTACAAAAATGTTACCCAGGTGGACTCCAGTATTTAAATCGGACATAAAGGACGGGGAGTGCGGCAGACAGTGTAGCAGCTATTGATAAAAACAGATTGTGCTCTGCTCATTAATCCCAACCATAATACATAGAGTGTGAGCCACCTGGGACAAGACCGTGTAGTTACATGCTGGTTCCTTGGTTACTGCAGAGCAACAGGCGATTACTGAGCACAGATCCTGAATGTAGCATGCTTCAGTAACCTGTCCAGCCAACTTTTAAAATCATTCCCTTCTATTCAAATGAATGCACATATGCTCCCTTCAGATAACAAACAATCTGATTGCTCGCTGATGAAAAAGGCACACAGATGGCTTCAATTCATCAGTTTTTCTCCCAGTGTCTAAAAGATGATGATGATGACTATGAAAACCAGGAAAGAAAGAAGTTTTTTTTTGTTTAAAACTAAAAATACAGCTGATGAACTCCATTTTGCAATTATGGATTCACTCTGTCCGAAATTCTGCGACACCGATATGATCAGCCTGCGGAGATACCTGTGGATAAAATATTCTCTCAAACATTGCGTACAATATACTAATGCTCGTCACTTGAGGCGCTACTATTGAATAGTCATACATGCTAGTGATTCACAGCGAGCTTTGACAAGATGGTCGAGCGAAAATCATGTACATTCTGACTTGCACCCAACTGTTAAATAATCAGAATGTTCACAAACTCCCAAACAATGTAGATGGATTTTCTATTTTGTCTCTGCCAATTTGATATTTGATTAACATAATATCCTAAAATGATGAACCCTCTATATCTGTTTCTTGCTTAAATTGTTTCCAAAAAAGAGAATGCACACTAGAACCACCAGTATAGATTATGCAAATTTTAATGAACCAATAATAGGCATGAATTGCATACAACAAGACAATATAGTGTGACAATATAAAGGCATAAAAATAAAACAGTAATAATTGACCAAATTTCTCACAAGCCTAACCTGGCAGAAACACAGGTCCCCAATACCCCAACGTTTCGGCACCAACTGGCTGCCTTTTTCAAGGGTGTTTAATAGTTATGCTTATTTGGTACTTGAGGGAGTACCTGTGAGGAATAGCACCTAGTGAATTATTTGGTTATTGTTAATCTCTCCACACGATATTATTGTATGAATATCTTGCTTAAATTGTACTAATCTTTTTAAAAATAAAGATTGTTAAAAATAAAATGAAAATAATATCCTTACGCTTGTATTTCACAATTTGTTCCAAGAGACAACTGAATAGAATCCATTCACCCATGAACTTAACACAGGGACAGTACGTGATTCTTGAGTCTTTTCAAAAAATTAAAATGTGACCTGAACTTTTGTTCTATTCATTTTCCTTAGAAACTTTCCATTCTGAGCTCACGGTGGAGAATTGTGGTTTTAATTTTCTGCACCAGTTTTAAAGAAGTATATGACAGAGCTAAAAAAAAGTGCAGAGGCGGACTACAAAATTAGTAAAGGGGGATGGAAAACATTAGTTACGAAGAAAGGCTAGAAATTTTTATTTTTATTTTCTCAAAAGAAAAAAGTATTACATACTTTTCAGAAGTTTTCTTGCTTTATTTTGGTTTGTGTATTCATTTTAAAGTGTTTGTCAAGTGATGCAACAGGGAGCAGTGATAGCCTGGGTTGGAGTACCCTTAAAGTCATAGCAGTGCGTGCAGGAAACTAAAGTTGGTAAACGATCTTTGGTAAATGTGAGTGGATTGTTATGTTATCATTTCTTATATTATTTATATGATTTACTGACTGAATATATATTTTTTTAAACTATCTGCAATATTATCTGAATTATTTATTTACCACGTGCAACACTTTGGCGTATGTGGGATTTTACCTGAAAGGATTTGCTGCCTATATACAAGTATTTTTACATTAATTATGTGATGTGTACACAGGGGAAAATTGGATTGATTTTATTTTATTGCACCTAGACAATGCTGTTTTTGTGGTTTGCTTTTTGGATATAGGCAATGCTTGTTTGTTTGATTCTCTCTATTTGTAATTCCCAACTTAATTTGGGGGGAGGGTGGGTGGGGGGAATCAATCTGCTTCTCTTTTGGCTATGTATAAAAATTATGAAATAATTATGAAATAGTTTTTATAGACACACAGCTTTTGCAATACGTCACAATAGCCGCAAACAATCAGATTTAATTGCTGCTTACAAGTTCAGAATGTCCTTAAAGAGACTGTTACTCAGACCATTATTGTTCTGAAAAATGAATTAAGAATCAAACATTGCATAGGTTGTAGATAAGAAAACAAAATGCTTTATTTAGGAGATTGACGCCTTGAAAAATAAAACACAGCAACAAAATGAGATGTAACAGATTATTAAATAATTGATATTACAATCAATAAATTATGATATAAAACTTTAACAGTTTGCACTTTTCATTCAAGAGTTGGACAAACTAATCATACAAAAAAATTTCTAAAAATAGAAGTGCAAAAGTTTTATTAAAAGGTGACGTACAAGGGGGGCGTGTCAGACCGTGGAGATAGATGGCCGCTTGAGCTTTAAGCTCCGCAACACGAGCCTGGCAAAAAACTGTGTATACCGCTGACCCCTGGGTGCAGAATGACCAACAAAGTGAAGATGTCACACTCTAAAGCCCGCAAGAACCAAGACAAGTCGGAGAAAGTAACTTTTTTGCCCAAAAACGGTCCACGGCTTCCCGTACCGCAGACCAAGGCCTGCAAGATGGCGCCAAAAGCTCCGGACGGAGCAGCCCGCCTCCCTGAAGCAGAACCTCTCACAACCTCCTTCATACAGAAAGCCCTGGACCAACAATCCAGTAAGCTCATCGCAATTTAGCAATGCAGCGTGGCGGAACTCAAAAGAGACATGCAAGATCTAGGTTCCCGCACGTCGCTGGTGGAAGCCAAGATGAAGGAAATAATTGACATCCATAATTCTGCCGCAGACAGGATGCAACAACTTCAGGACAGGTTGCCACAATGTGAATCGAAACTCATGGACCTGAAAGACAGGTCACACCGCAGCAATCTTAGGCTCAGGGGGGCTGCCTGAAACAATCCTCACTGCGGACCTGCCTGCATTCGTGCACAATTTCCTTAAGCTCTTAACTCCTAAAATACTGTTGGATATGTTGTTACTGGAGCGACTGCATAGGGTTCCAAAACTCCAGCACATCTCGGCATCACTTACACGAGACGTTCTCTTAAAGGAATACTACTTCAAACCCTTTTATCCCCCTCCCCATCAGAACTTTCCAACTCCGCCACCGATTTCTGCTAGTGTGGCACTCGAGCCCTCTAGGTCTCTAAATCTTGTTGCCTTTTTGGTCACGACTGTCAATTTCCCAGCATTTCCCAGAACTTTCCCTTGGAAGTTGACAGATAGCACAACACGTAAAGCTCTCGCCCTAAGAGTCCTAAGCGGTCTCCCTACATATCCACCCTGAAAATCTATTCTCATAACGTCCGTGGGTTGCACATGCCCCACAATAGGCACATGGTTTTTTTAAAAAGCTAGAAGATGCGAGGCAGATATACTGTGCCTGCAGGAGACTCACTTCCCCAAAGCAAAAATCCCACAATTTGGCATGAAGTATTTCCCAGTGCAGTTTATATCTACAAAACCGTGGCTTTCGAATTGCTTCAAAATATTTCTGATGTGCATGGAAGGTATTTTATTTTAATGTTTGTTGAATAATGTTTTGTAGTAAATGCATATGCCCCTAATAAACACCAATGGAATCTTTTGCACACGGTGCTCACCAAAGTGGCAGCCATGCAAAAGGGGACGACCATAATCTGTGGTGACATAAACCACGTCTTAGACCCTAGCCTAGACACATCTACGCCTAAAAACTTGCCCATGTATACAATACTAAAAACACAGGGCAAAGCAATATCTAAACTACTCTTACAATTCAGCCTATATGACTGCTGGAGGACACTAAACCCTAATGACAGATGTTATACATGTCACGCACGACCCCACAATATGTACTCCAGGATAGATGTCACACTCCTCCAGGGGCCATCCCTGAACCAGGTTGCCTCATGCAACATAGGAGATATCCTCTTGTCGGATCATGCCCCAATTATGCCAACGTTGAGGGATGACTTTAAATTTAGGGGTTGCAACCTGTGGAAACTTAACACAACATTATTAAATAATGACAAGTTCTGCACCGAGGTAGAAGCAGAACTCTCAACCTATTTTTCATTAAATGATACACGGGAGCTACCCACCTCCTCATGTGACAAGCCCATGAGGCGGTTATAAGAGGGGTGTTCATTCGGAGGGCCTCTTTCCTTAAGAAGCAAACCCAAATAAGAACTCTTGACTTCTTGAGAACACTAAGGGATCTCACCACAATGTAATACCTGCAACCCAGTACCATGGTAGCAGACCAAGTTGCAAAAGTTCAGAGAGACATAAATGACCTCAACAATGACCTCTCCTACACTTTGCATAAACCAAAAGCTAGGGAATACACAGAGGGAAATAAAGTAGGCGCGCTGTTCACGAGCAGGTTGAGGGACATGAACGCTCACTCCAAGATCACCTCTATAATTTAAGAGGATGGCAAAAGAATTATCATATCAAATATCTAATTTCTTATCCACTGTAGATTTGCCATCTGTATCCTCAGCTCAAAAAACTAAATTAGCTGACCTAATTACGTTGGAAGAAGTGAGAAAGGTGATAGCGGATTTGCCCTCCAATAAGTCGCCCGGACCAGACAGGCTGCAAAATGCCTACTATCAAAGGTTCTCTTCCATCCGCTCCCCGCACTTAGCAACACTATTTGGCTCAGCCACCGAGTTGGAACGACTGCCAGGTGAAATGCTGGAGGCTAATGTGACCACATTGCCTAAACCAGGTAAACACCCAACCAAATCTGCGAAATTTTAGGACCATCTCCTTGCTTAACACAGATGTCAAAATCTTTGCAAAAATATATGCCAACAGACTCAAATAAAATAGAACTGCACTCGATCCCCCAAAATAATCTGAGTTTGAGTGCAACCAGGCCGGCCCCAGTACCAAAAGACCAGTAGATTAGTAGAACAAAAATAGAGAGGTCCAGGCACTCCATATATCAGTAAAATAAGCAATTTATTGAACACACAGCCAAAGCAACGTTTCGACCAAACTGGTCTTTCTCTTGACATACATGGAACATATGCCCAATAGATGGTGATACTCGTCACACAAAGCCCAATATTTATCTCCTGAAAAGCAACTAAGCCAATACATGTCCAACATCGGGGGTCACTAACCGTGGTGGCTCAACCTTAAGTGTACTTGGGGAGCGACCCACCAAGTTAAAGGAACACTATAGTGGCAGGAAGAGAAGCATGGATTCCTAACACTATAGTGCAGGAATACATGTTTAGCTTCCGGCCTCCCTCGCTGTGGAGATAAATGGTTTTAAATGTACCTTTTCTCCACCACAGCGTCAATCTCGCTGCGGCTGGCTCTGACTCTGACTCTATTAATGAGATCATCAATCTTGATGATCTCAGTCAATCCAAATGCTTTCCCATAGGCTATTTCGCATGTGCGGCAAAATGCCAGGCTGCGCCATTCAGTATGTCTGTGTAGAGATGCATTGAATTACTTTGTGTCTACGGAAAATGAGTACCAATCACAGGACTTTAATGATTTCTGTTATGCTGACCTTGGCTTGACAGAGTGCGAGCCCAAGCCAAAAGTCAGTAACCAGAATAACACTAAACAGTATAAATATACTTCCAGGAAACTGAAGACATATGACAGGGCACTGTTCAGAGCGGGTGTAGGCAACTTTTGGCACTCCAGATGTTGTGAACTACATCTCTAATAATGCTGTATGAACCAATCTGTGATATTAGATCAGTTGCAATGTCATTTACAGTTCACTACAAATGAAAAAACCTTTATAAGCATTTCATGTAAAATTGTGTTGCTTACCATCCCCAAACATGTATTTAAGGACCACTATAGACACCCAGACCACTTCAGCCCAATGAAGCGGTCTGAGTGCCAGGTCCATCTAGGGTTAACCCTGCCTGCTGTAAAAATAGCAGTTTCAGAGAAACTGCTATGTTTATAAATCGGTTAATCCAACCTCTAGTGGCTGTCTCATTGATAGCCGCTAGAGGCGCTTCTCACTGTGATTTTCACAGTGAGAAGACGCCAGCGTCCATAGGAAAGCATTGAGAATGCTTTCCTATGGACTGACTGAATGCACGCGCAGCTCTATCCGCGCATGTGCATTCAGCCGATGACGTCTGAAGGAGGAGGAGAGTCCCCAGCGCCGAGGGAGCCCGGCGCTGGAGAAAGGTAAGTGTTTAACCCCTTTCTCCAACTTCAGCCCGGCGGGAGAGGGGCCATGAGGGTGGAGGGGACCTATTAATACTATAACAAACTCATTTTCCTGGCACTATAGTGGTCCTTTAATGATCTCCCTAATAGGTTTCGGCCATGGTATTCTACCAAATGAGTTATTACTTTATAACTGATAAAGATAAATAAAATGAAAAAAATATAATACATTTATAAAAAAAAATTATTTAAAAAAATATTAAGAAATAATATAACAAACGCAACTTAAAGCGACACTATAGTTACTTAAACAACTTTAGCTTAATGAAGCAGTTTTTGTTATATAGATAATGTCCCTGCAGTCTCACTGCTCAAATCTTTGCCATTTAGGTGTTGAATTACTTTTTTTTCTATCTTTAAGGCCCTAGTCACACCTTTCCTGGCTGTGGCCGACAAAGCCTCCGTGAAAAAAAGGTTTTGTTTTTAATCAGATGTTAACTTACTTCAGAAGTTTTTATCTCTTGCTTTGTAAATTGAACTTTAATCAAATACAGGAGAGTCATGCAGGGTGTAGAAGGTTATTGACAGTGCATGATATAAGATATTCCAAATGGAACAGACTGTGCAATAAAGGTAGTTTAAACATTAGATCTTATTTTACAGGAAGTGTTTAGGAGGGTTGTGTAAGTTACATGCAGGGGAGGTGTGACTAGGGCTTTATAAACAAAAGCTATTTAACTCAAATGGCAGAGAAGTGAAGGACTGTAGGGGCAAGACCTGTGCACTAAAACTACTTTATTAAGCTACAGATGTTTTGGTGACTATAGTGTCCCTTTAAGGAGAAGATAATTCAATACCCGAGCGATATTACGTTACCCAGTAAAATGAATTCTAACTAAAACATGTCTGGCAGTGATGTGAGATATGGTGCTGGCTATCAAAACAAGGTATTTTCCACCTGTGAAAGCTTCAGCCTTTTCTTATTAAATAAAACCACATGTAGTATATATATTTATTTATTTTTCCGTGTCAAGATTGTCAGAATAATCTGACGCTAAGGCAAATACATGTAACAAGGACACATGTTTCTTCCGAGCATTATCATATCAACATTAATAGTCTTTGAAAGTTATTATTTAGCTTGTCACTTGCCTCATTATGTTTTAAGATTCAATGTTTTCACCATCAGAATTTATTGGTTAATAACTCTGAACATCCTAGGAGTTATTTCAGGTTACGAAGGATTTTTTTATGGTTAACAAAACAAACACATTTAGACAGAACTTGCTGTATTACTCACTATGTACAGTACAAGTCTGTACAATGAGCAGCTAGTTTATCAGTGGGCTAATACATCATCAATAGAATCTGTTCAACCCTTGGGTTGCAGGTTTGAATCCTGGCAGGGTTAACTCAGCCCTTCATCCTTCCGAGGTAGATAAAAGAAGTACCATTAAATTGGGTAATAGTAACAACCCCTGGATGTTGGGCTAAGGTAACTTCCCTAGGACGTACTTGAAAACCAGAGTTATGTGCCTTTCCTGGTTAAAGGATCACTATAGGGTCAGGAACACAAACATGTATTCCTGACCCTATAGTGTTAAAACCACCATCTAGCTCCCCTGGGCCCCTCATGCCTCCATAAATATAGCAAAATCTTACTGTATTCAAGCCTGAAGCTGTAAATCTGCATGCTGTTAGACTCAGAAAAACAAGCAGTCTGCTGACATGTGGCAGCCTGATCCAATCACAGTGCTTCCCCATAGGATTGGCTGAGACTGACAAGGAGGCAGATCAGGGGCAGAGCCAGCATGATTAAAACACAGCCCTGGCCAATCAGCATCTCCTCATAGAGATGAATTGAATCAATGAATCTCTATGAGGAAAGTTCAGTGTCTGCATGCAGAGGGAGGAGACACTGAATGTTTGGATGCATTTTAGGCAGCCATGATCCAGGAAGGATCTCTAACAGCTATCTGAGAAGTGGCCAGTGAAGTTATCACTAGGCTGTAATGTAAACACTGCATTTTCTCTGAAAAGACAGTGTTTACAGCAAAACGCCTGAAGGTAATGATTCTACTCACCAGAACAAATTCAATAAGCTGGTGACTATAGTGTTCCTTTAAATACTTTGTTATTATTATTATTAAAAGGTACAGAGGCTTAAAAAGTTGTAAATGTTCACCAGATTCTAGATGTACCAAAGTCTAGATTCTAGCTGCAAGCAAAAAATAAATACAAATGCTTTTCTCTTTTCTTTAGCTCACAAAAATATTCTCAAACCACATTTTCCACATATCCTGTCTCTCCAAGTGAATTTAACTAAGTACATAATAAAGTTAGCCGAGCAGTCTCATAGAAGGAGGATATGTCCTAACTGTGAAGGACAGTACATTGCAGTCCTGATTTTAGGCCTCTTGTTTGTGTCTTTTGAAAGATCACACTATATTGTTAATGAAGGGTTACTCCAGGTACTTCAGTGATTTGAAGTGGTTACGGTGTCTGGAGTATGTATGTGCAGGGTTTCGCTTCAAATACTGCATATGCAAAGAATAACCCCTTGATGTTGGAGGGGTACCACCACGTCCGGCAGATTCATAAAGTTGTCATCAGCCAATCTGGAACTAGAGTTCCTGGCTGATTAATGTCAGTGGTCCATCGGCTGGTCATCTGCAATAAGAAAAGCCTGATTTCCAAACTTTCCAGCCCCATTACTGCTGAAAAAAAGCCAGTGCTACATCAGCTGATCATCTGCAATAAGCAAAGGTAGCCTTCTGGAGGACACACTAAGACTCTATCCTGCACACAATCATTTAACCCCTTAAGGATGGCGGGCATGCTATGCCGTCCTTGGGAACCAGTCTCTAAACGCTGGCGGGCGGCATAGCACGTCCATGCCGTGCTTCACACTTACCTGCACGCTGCTGATCCTACGCCGGTAATCGCGATGTGTGGACTTACCTGACATCCAAGGGAGTCCCCATGCTGCCAATCCGACCCTCTTGGGCCATGTGATTGCGAGGTCCTTGCGAGGACCTCACGATCACATGAACGAAATAGCAGTCCATAGCAGTGCCAGCAGGGGGAGTGCCTGGAATGACAGGTAGTCCCCCTGCTGCCTGTAAAAAGTTTAATAAAGTTTTTTGCATTTTTCACACACAAACAAATATTAACTCTAATTTTGGCCAGTGTTTATGACTCTCTGTACCGCCTCTAATCTCTCAAATATTCATTTTCCTCTATCTGACCACCGTCTGCTGACTTTTGACATCAGCACACCCATGACCCAGCTGACACCACCCTCTGCAAATCAATATCACAGAAAACTCCAATATCTTGACCTAGCAAACTTCTCCACTAACCTCCAAACTCTACTTTTACCGATCTCTAACCTCACCTGCCCTAGCTCTGCAAACTCCTTCTACAATTCCACCCGCTCTTCTCAACTAGACATCATGGCACCCCCAACACTTAAAAGCTGACTCAATACCTCCAAAAATGCTCCAGAACTGCTGAACGCTGCTGGAGGAAGTCTCACTCCGCATCTGACTTTCTCCACTATAAATTTATGCTGTGCTCTTACAGCTTGGCTCTTTCCTTTGCAAAAGTAAATTACTTCAATACCCTCATAACCACTGCGAACCCAAATAACTATTCCACACTTAACTCTCTTCTTTGCCCAGTTACTCCTCCTCCTACCGACTTAACCACCTCAAACTTTGCAACTCACTTCACTGACAAGATCTCTACAACCAGGGAAGAGATCTCTCATCACTCTCCTTCCCCTTACAATACTTTCCCAACCTCACTACCTCTGCTGTTCTATGCTCATTTGCACCCACTACTGCGGAAGAGGTTTCTGATCTGCTCCGGTTCTCCCATCCCACCAACTGCTCCCTTGATCCTGTTCCCTCGCATACTCTGTCTCCTTCTCTTGCTTTGTCTCTCACTATAATTCTCAATCTCTCCCCCTCCTCTGGCATATTTCCATTACCCTTCAAACATGCAACTGTAACCCCGATTCTAAAAAAGCCAATCCTTGACAGTGGCGTCGCTAGGGGGGGGCCAGAGGGGGCCATGGCCCCCCCTACATCATGCTGTGCCCCCCCTTGGGCCCCCCCCCAAATGCCGGCAACTTGCTGCCCATAGGCTTCCCTCGGACTGTAACAGCCTGTTACAGCCCGAGGGAATGCAGTGCTGAGGTGCTGGAGGCTGTCTGTGGCTGGAGGGAGCCCCACCCCCGCCGTAATGCAGCAGCCCATGCTGCTTCAGAAGATGGCTGCCTGACCCCCAGCAACATCCTCCAATGACAGGTAAGCTGGGGGGGGGGGGTTCACACACTCTACACACACACACATTGCCCCCCCATACACACACACTGCCCCCCATGCCCCCCATACACACACTCTGCCCCCCCATACACACACTCTGCCCCCCCATACACATACACTCTACACACATACACTATTCCCATACACACACACTGTATGGACTCAGCAGTCTGTGTGTGTGTGTATGGACTCAGCAGTCTGTGTGTGTGTATGTGTGTGTGTGTGTGTGTGTATGGATTCAGCAGTGTGTGTGTGTGTGTATGAACTCAGCAGTGTGTGTGTATGGACTCAGCAGTGTGTGTGTATGGACTCAGCAGTGTTTGTGTATATGGACTCAGCAGTCTGTCTGTGTGTCTGTGTATGGACTCAGCAATCTGTGTGTGTGTGTGTGTGTGTGTGTGTATGGACTCAGCAATCTGTGTGTGTGTGTATGGACTCAGCAGTGTGTGTGTGTGTATGGACTCAGCACTCTGTGTGTGTGTGTATGGACTCCGCAGTTGATCAATAATAAAAATTCCTGTGAGTTGTTGTGTAGGAAGGGCCCCAGTGTATTGCTTTGCCCAGGGGCCCTTAACTCTGTTAAAATGGTACTGCTTGTGTGTGTCAGTGAGCTTCTATTTAGTGAGCATGTGTGTGTGTCAGTGAGCTTGTCTTTAGTGAGCTTCTGTGTGTGTCCCTGAACTTCTTTGTAGTGAGCCTTCTGTTTATACAAGTGAGTGTCTGTAGTAAGCTTGTGTGTGAGTCAGGGAGTTTTGTCTGTCAGTAAGCCTATTTGCGCATGTCAGTGCGTGCTCACTGTACTATATATATATATATATATATATATATATATATATATATATATATATATATATATATATATATATATATATATATATATATATATTTTACATATTTTGACTTGTAGGAATGGCATACGTTTTTTTTTCCAGGGCTGCTTTGGATTCCCAGGGATTCCCAGTTTGGCTCTGCCAGCGAGTGCACTTTACCGCTGAATAATCTGGGTGAGCTGCCGCACACTTTAGCCCTGTTACACGCGCCTGGGAGCTGCTGTTGACAGGTACTAGTAGTCTAGAGATTGGGGTATATGCTCAGCTATCTGTATAATACAGATCTGTGTGTATAAAATATCCTGGGATAGTCAGTGCTTCCTGTATAGTGCTGCTCTCTGTCTTGGGATATTATACACAAACAGACCTGTATTATACAGAGAGCAGCACTATACAGGGAGCACTGAGTGTCCCAATTTATTATACACACAACCCTGTATTATATAGAGAGCACTGACTGTCCAGGGATATTATACCCAGACAGTAATTGATAGCTGTGCTGCAAAATGTCCTTGGAAATTTTTTTTCAAATGTTGGCAACTATGGCACTGTATCAAGGATAATGTGTTTTTTTTTTTTAATAATCCCTGGTGGAAAATAATGAATCCTCCACCAGGTATTATTAAAAAAAAAAACACTCATTGTGTCGGGGGCGTGGCTTAACATGCGACAGGGGCGGGTCAAACTGCGGCGAGGGCGGGGTTAAATGTGCCCCCCTACTTTTGTCACTGGCCCTCCATGTGCCCCCCCGAAAAATGAATCCTAGAGACGCCACTGATCCTTGACCCTAACTCCCCATCCATCTACCACCCTGTGTATGTGAGATTGACAAACTTCCTCGAGTCCAATTTTTCAGTCTGGTTTGCGCAGAGCACTCTGTGGAAACCGCTCTGACCAAAGTATCAAAGCTCAACTTGTCCAAAACAGAACTTCTGATCTTTCCTCCCTCAAGAGCTGATACTCCTTCCTCACTCCATGTTAATTGTGCTACCATCAGCCCCACCACGCAGGTTCGTTGCCTAGGTGTTCTCTTTGACTCTGACCTGTCCTTCACCCCTCATGTCCAGTCTATCGCCAAATCCTGCCGCTTCCATCTCAAAAACATTGCGCACATCCGCCCCTACTTAACGCAAGATGCAGCTAATGTGCTGGTCCATGCCAATGTCCTCTCTCACTTTGACTACTGCAATCCACTTCTCACTGGTTTTTACGTGCTCCCAACTTGCCCCATTGTAGTCTATAATTAATGCTGTGGCGAGGCTCATCTTCCTGTCTGCCCGCACCTCCAATGCCTCACCCCTCTGTCAGTCCCTGCATTGGCT